AGGATAAGTTAAATTAAATACTTAGGGAAACCTTAGATGAGATACGCTTCTCATGCGCATTACAACTGAAATTTAGCAGTTCTAAAATATCTACAGACAAATAAAAAAAGCGCTAAAATTTTCTAATTCCCCATTTGTAACCATTTGAGGGTGAATATTTTTTAAATGGTATAGATCTCATTGGAGGACACAAAATAAGTAGTCTTTGAACATCGTTCATTAAGGTTAATTATTATTTTATGCATTTTCAAAATTTTTTGCAAATATTAAAAAAAATATATTATGAAACCTGTATATTACAGAGTCTTCTTTTCATAATATAAAATTAAGGAAAAAATTTTCAACCTGTTATTTGCATTAAACATTGTAGACCTTAATTAAATGTAACAACAACAAAAAATACAATAGACAAATGCAAATTAAATATTATATTTTAATTTAAACATATGGGCGATTCCATATGAAATTTACAATGATTCTCTAAATTCGGTTGTCCAAATTTTTGAGTTATGAATTTTCGAAATTTTGGATTAGTATAAGTAGACCTATTTTTAGTATCTTTTATAAGTCTGGAAATATTCAGTTTAGAAAAAAGTTATCAAAGAATGAAAATGTTGGTATTCCTTCAACTTTCATGTAATGTAAAAAAAATTTTTTAAAATTTTTTATAAATAAGTTATAAACAAATTAATTTATTTAATCTGTGTGCACGATTTTTTATTTGGGTGATTCTATACAAACGAAGGACGAAAATCAAGATAATTTGGACACAACATTTTTTTATCATTTAAGGTCTGAAAAGTATGTTAACTCCAAATTAATGGTACTAATAAAAACATCCATAAGTGGCCGCAGACAAAATATTAAAAATTACAAAACTAAGGTTATTTATAAACAATTTTTCCAGAGAATTAAAATCGAGTCAAGAAAATTCACATTAACATAATAATTAATGAATGGATTTTTATAAAATTGGTTACTCGGGGGTTTAAAGGGGTTGCTGATTAAGAATCCAATGTCAGTTTTTCAAAATTCAAAATGGCGGATCCAATATGGCGGACAACTTTTGAAAAAACTTATCGTATTCGTCTAAAAGTCGTTACCCGGGGGTTTTTGGGGTTGCTGATTAAGAACCTAATGTCAGTTTTTCAAAATTCAAAATGGCGGATCCAATATGGCGGACAACTTTTGAAAAAACTTATCGTATTCGTCTAAAAATCGTTACCCGGGGGTTTTCGGGGTTGCTGATTAAGAACCTAATGTCAGTTTTTCAGAATTCAAAATGGCGGATCCAATATGGCGGAAGAATTTTGAAGAAACTTATCGTATTCGTCTAAAAATCGTTACCCGGGGGTTTTTGAGGTCGCTGATTAAGAATCTAATGTCAGTTTTTTAAAATTCAAAATGGTGGATCCAATATGGCAGACAAATATTTAAAATTCACTTTAAAATCATTGGAAACTACTTACTTGGCGGTTTTGTAGTGTCGCAGGATACGAATTCGCAGTCAGTTTTTGAATTTTAAAATGTCTGATCCATCTATTAAAAGAATTTTAAAAAAATTGTTCGATTTTTATTAAATTTGATTTTGTAAAATATATTTAAACGTTAAATAAGTTATTAACCTAGAGGAAAAGTTAGAACTATCAATTTACAAGTTACCAACATTTTCGCAACTTTTGAATCAGATAGTTCAAGATTATTTAAAATACGGAATACTTGATGCATACGGAAATTTCCGAGGACTGAAAAGAAATCGAGTACCCTAAAAAATCGAATACTAAATACTTTGAGCGCACCTCTAGTTTTTAACGTTGAGTTTAATTTTGAATTTACTTTTTAATAATTTATTAATTTATTTTTATTTAATTTATTTAACTAATTAATAATTAATAATGATAATAATAAATTGTAATTAATTAATTAATTATGATTATTAAAAATTATTTAAAATTTATTTATTTATTTTTATACATCTATGAACTATAAATATAGTAGTAGAACTAAAAAACATAATTAAATTGTTTAAACAAATTGTAAAAACAATGGTTAATTTGAAAAAAGTTGATCTCGGTTTGGTAATAAGTGAAACAGAAAATCACCGAGTAACGATTTTCAGACGAATATATTAAGTTTCTCCAAAATCGTCGGCCATATTGGATCCGCCATTTTGAATTTGAAAAATTTTAAAAACTGACATTAGGTTCTTAATCAGCAACCCCGAAAACCCCCAAGTAACGATTTTTACGAGGATAAATAAAAGTCATTGGTTTAATTAATTTTTGTTGTAATTTAATTAATAATTGAAATAACAAATTACGGATGGTCTATTTGTTTCTATAAGCACAATTTCACAAATCATAGAATTCTAAAAGTAAGTTCAAGTGTCTAATAATAAAGAACTACTTTGATTTTAGTGGGCTAAACTTTATTCATATAAAAAAATACTTATTCCATTTGTTTGTTTATGTCAATATAATTATTTATGCGAAATGAAAATTGAAAATTCAGTTATAGCAATTTCTTGTAAATTTAATTAGGAATATTTTAAGACCAGAAAATCGAACAATAGTTGAAAATTGTTAGTTTTACGCTATTTTTAGTGATATAATATACATCCTATCTCAAAAGTGCCAGACGAATAACAACCAGACGAATGAGGGGGCGCATGATTATTCCCCAAATGTCATTTTTCCGAAATGTCATTTTACCGAACTGCACTTTTGCGAATACTCATTTTTGCGAAAAGCCAATTTTGCGAAATGTCACTTTTGCGAATTGTCATTTTTAAGAAATGTCATTTTTGCGAATTGTCACTTTTGCGAATCGCTATTTTTACGAATCGCCATTTTTACGAATTGTCATTTTTGCGAATAGTCATTTTTACGAATTGTCAATTTTCCGAAAAGTCATTCTTGCGAATTGTCATTTTTACGAAAAGACATTTTTGTGAAATGTCATTTTTGCGAAAAGTCATTTTTACGAATTGCCATTTTTGCGAATTGTCATTTTTAAGAAAAGTCATTTTTGCGAATCGCCATTTTTACGAATTGTCAATTTTTCGAAAAGTCATTTTAGCGAATTGTCATTTTTGCGAAAAATATAATAGTGAATTTATAGACCTACAAGTTTTCTATTGTATTTTTCGCAAAAATGACAATTCGCAAAAATGACTTTTCGGAAATTTGACAATTCGTAAAACTGGCGATTCGCAAAAATGACTTTTCGGAAAATTGACAATTCGTAAAAATGTCGATTCGCAAAAATGACAATTCGCAAAAATGACTTTTCGGAAAATTGACAATTCGTAAAAATGTCGATTCGTAAAAATAACTTTTCGCAAAAATGACTATTCGCAAAAATGACAATTCGTAAAAATGGCGATTCGTAAAAATAGCGATTCGCAAAAGTGACAATTCGCAAAAATGACATTTCTTAAAAATGACAATTCGCAAAAATGTCAATTCGTAAAAATGACTTTTCGCAAAAATGGCTTTTCGCAAGAATGACATTTCACAAAAATGTCTTTTCGTAAAAATGACAATTCGCAAAAATGAGTTTTCGAAAAATTGACAAATCGTAAAAATGGCGATTCGCAAAAATGACTTTTCGGAAAATTGACTATTCGTAAAAATGGCCATTCGCAAAAATGACAATTCGCAAAAATAGCTTTTCGCAAAAATGACAATTCACAAAAGTGACATTTCGCAAAATTGGCTTTTCGCAAAAATGACTATTCGCAAAAGTGCAGTTCGGTAAAATGACATTTCGGAAAAATGACATTTGGGGAATAGTCATGCGTCCCCGAATGAGAATTTGGCATTTTTTGTTTAAAAAATAAAAAATAACATTAAATGAAAAAATCCTTTAGTACTATCTTATAGAGAATAATAATCTACAAAACATAAGTCTATAGAATAACCGAAAAATAAAATATTTTTTTAAAAAATGTATGCCAGACGAATGAGAATTTGTCTGGTCACAACACAATCTCCGTTACAAATTGAGAAATCTTGGTTAATAGATTAGAAGATTCAATAAAACCCGATTGGTATCACGTTTAGTTTAGTTTAATTAACAACTACAACGAACAGTCACTTCATCAGAATGTTGATTTTTAATAATTTTTACATTTTTTGCACTGCCAGACGAATGATAACAAATTCAGGGGACAAACTTCGCGAAGATATTTTATAAATAAGATACAGAGAAACATCATAATTATTTCCATATTAGTAATCTACAACTATTAAAAATTACTAATTCAGTATGAATTTTCCGCAAAACATTTGAAAAGTGATATTTATTCTCAATATGAACTGTCATTCTCCCAAAGGGACATGCCAGACGAATGAGAATTTAGCACTATAATGTGTATTTTTTGCAAAAACATATTTTTTCTCATCGGTTTTTTTTCTGTGCCATAATAGAAACCATTAAGATTTACAATCTCCATTAAAAGTAAAATTATTCTTTCCAAAATTAATATACAAAACATGATTCAGACATCAAAATTCCCTCTTTTGTAGAATCACCCATTTATTAATATCTTATAATATAGAGATTTTCCAAAAAGTCCCGAAATGGGTCTGATGAGTTTAATGAGTCTAAAAACTCAATATTTTCAGAGTTATAAGCTACTGAAAATAAGTCTACTTCTTTTACAAAACAAAAATTTCGAAAATTCGTAAATCAAAAATTTGGGCAATTATAAAAAAATAAAAAAATACGGATTTCATATTTTTCTATAAAAAACGAGAAAAAAAAATATTGAACCGAATTTAGAAAATCATTGAAAATTTCATGTGGAATCGCCCATATATTTCACGAATACTGTGTTTACGTCTTTGTATATAAATGATAACTAAATATGTATCATTGTAAATTTACATGTCCTGTATTTTATGACGTGACAGTTGATAAACAAAAGTGTACATAGTTATATAAATTTTTGACATGTGTATCTGAACTATACTATAAAAACCATTTTTCCTCAATTTTTGTCGCCAGTTGGTTATTGGACACAAGCGTTAATTAAATTTCATTAACAATGAGTTCATTCCCAAAAGTTTATTGTCTTTTGGCAATTTTTCTTACAGGATGTAAGTTAGAAATATTTATACCTATGTATTTTATTATTAAACATTTATTACTTAAATTAGATAATATTCATTAAATAATTGTGTAAATAAAATGACATAAAAACAAAAATGTACAATTTCTAAAAATTTATTTTAATAATTTAGAATTTAGTTTGAAAATTATTAGAATTTATTTATAAAACAATTACATAATTTAGGATTCATTTATTTCAAAATATTTTAAAAATTTAATTCAAGTTTTAAAAATTTAAAATATAATACTTTTACACTTTCTAATACGGTAATTATTTATTATAATCGCCGAAGAAAAAATGCTTTAAAAAAAAGGATTCCTCTAAAATTGAGAATTTGGTTTTCGATGATGCAATTATTATTAATACATTTTACATGTTTAATAAAAACTTTCAGTAAACTATGAGATAGTATTGGCACAAAATAGAATAGTAGGGGGAACTGAAACTACAATCGAAATGTTTCCTCATATGGTAAAAATTATTGTATTTAAAAATAAAAAAGAAATAAATTTGATGTTGAAATAAATTGTTGTAAAAAATTTGTTTGTTTTTTTTAAGATTCGTGTTCAAGTTGGAATAAAAAATTCAAATTTGGCAAGTATATGTGGTGGTTCAATTATTGGTAGTGAATGGGGTCTTGCAGCAGCACATTGCTTTGGAAAGTATGATTTTTCTTAATTTGATATTATTTTGTTCTTTTAAATATATAGAAATTAAAACAGAATTTAAAAAGTAGATCTTTTAATTGAATAAATTATTAATTTGTGCCTAATTGACAAATTATTATTATTATTAAATTTGAAGAAGTTAACAATTTTATTATTATTATTATTATTATTATTATTATTATTATTATTATTATTATTATTATTATTATTATTATTATTATTATTATTATTATTATTATTATTATTATTATTATTGTTATTATTGTTATTATTACACTGAAAAAAGAATTCATTTAAATCAAATAAATACTTAGGTACTTGAATCAAATAATTTATATTTAGATCAATTTATATGAACCAATAGTTTCAGTATTTGAAGAATATATCATTTAATTGACTTAAAATTAAAAATATTTGATTCAAGTAAATATTTAATTGACAGTAGTAGTTGAGTAACGGTTTTCTGAATCAAAGAAATTTTTTTTCAATGTATTTATATTTTTACATATATTTTTTAATTCAAAAATGTTATTTTAGTCCACAAATTGATTACAATAAAATATCTGTAATTGCTGGTACTGCTGATATAAAAAATTTAGCAAAAACTGCAAAACAACATAAAGTAATAAAAGTTGTTCGAAGTCCATATTATAATCCTAATGACGATAATCGAAAAGTTGGAGGTGACATCGCTGTATTTAAAGTAACTCCACCCTTCGCTTATAGTAGTGCAATTCAACCAATTAAATTACCACAAAAAGGGCAACCATTAATAACAAATTATGGCACACTTTCAGGATGGGGAAAAATAAGAGTAAGAATTAGTTATAAAAAATTTATTAAGCACATAATTTCAAAGCAAAATAAAATTTCAGTATAAAATTTAAGCATAAGATCTTGAAAAAGCATGCTGTTTTTCGACTTTTATAATTTTATTATTTAAAATTATGTACAAAATATAATTAATATTATTGGAAACAATTGATAGCCAAGTGGACCAGGTTCTGATAAGTTGCTCTCCGTTACTGTACCCTTACTTGAATTGAACAAATGTAAAGCTAAATATCTGCAAAGTGGCATAAAATTCAAAGAAGGGGAAATTTGTTACGGATTCCATGAGGGAACAACAACTCGCGATTCATGCGAAGTAAGAAAAATTCATCATTTTTAATTATACTGATCAATTCATTATGTTATAATTGTAATTGTTTGCATCATTTTCTAGCGACATTTTTTGTTTATCTGAGGCCTACCGTTATAGCCTATAATATTTATTATTAATCGCTTATTATATAGCGAAATTGGTAAAAAATCATTTTCGAACAAGTTTTTCTCTGTACACAGACACTTTTTACAAAATCTGTCAACGTGTCAGAGGCACATATCTTATAAATTACTTAAATCCAAACGAATTTTGTAAATTCACGCAGAAACGCGGTTGCAAATTGGAAAATAAAATAGTAATGTAATGACAGGCTGCAAGAAGTGCATTGCAACCTGTCGCCAACAGAGGGCAGAAGCATGCAGATAGCATAAAGTCCCTGCTATAATATGATTATATTCCTATTTTATTCTCCATTTTTCAACTGCGTTTCTGTACGGATAAAAAAAATCTTCTAAATTTAAGTAATTTAGAAGATATGCGCCTATGGTAGGTTGGCAGATTTTGTAAGAAGTATTTGTGTTTAGGGGAGAATGGGGTAGCCCCAAACACTTAAGATTTTTGGTGAATAATTTGTGTTCATATTTTTTGAATATTAATTAAATTTTTTTCGTTTAAATAGAAAGCTTCTTTCAACCTTTAACATAAAATCATTTGTAAAATAATCAAATCTTTTAAGAGAAAAATAAGGAAAAATATGAGTATTAAAATCCCAATCTTGAACAATTTGTCGGGTAACCCCCCCGGACTAGCGTAAAAATATTTTATATTTTAATTATTGGACTTGATAAATTAACATCAAATTATAATGTCTTAAACAATGAACATAGACCATGTAATAGAAATAAATTGAAAAATCTATTTAATATTCACAGAAAGTCAACATGAAATAAGGTTTTTATAAGACGTTCATGTGACGTACATTTTTTAAAGTGTTCAGGCACTTTCAGATTAAATTTAGAAAATTCAAGTTTTTCGAAAAAAGGAAATGAAAAACTGAGTCAATATTTCAAAAATAAAAGTTAAACTGTATTATATAACACTTGTAATTTGTCCGGGGACCCCATTCTCCCCTATAGAAAAAATGGTTCGAAAATGTTTTTAACAATCTCGCCTCATTTATACCGGTCAGTGATGTTTTTGTTGGGTTACATCTGTAGGTCCCACATAATCAAGAAATTTCAGAGATCATCAAACTCTCTTACTAAAAAACTAAAACATCCTCCACAATACCGGACATTTTATTAAATATTTAGTTGCAATGTTTGAAATATTTAAATGCAAAGTTTAGTGCATGAAAATTATGTGTGCAACTTGCCTATGAACATTTAAATTAAATTTTTGCCTAAGTCGAACCAGGTCTTGACATAATTAGTTTGGATAATCGAGGTTCCACTATATTTTAAAAGATAATGCAATAAACTTTAAATTTGTCTTTATATTTTTCTAAATTTCTCTCAATTTCTTTAGGAAAATTCTGTTTGAAATTATATAGTTTTCTTGAAAGTATCAAATTGATACCTCGACTGATACTGAAGTGGATCAAATTAATGACAAAAATTTGTATTAATTTGATCCACATTTTTGGAATCAATTTGTTGCGATTTGATATGTTTAAGTTAACAGTGATGTAATATTCCTGATATCTCAAGACACCTACTTTAAATTTTTATGAAACTTATGAAAGAAACTTTATAACTTTCTTTATATAAAGACCAATTATAAGTTCATTAAATTCTCTTTCAAAATAGAGTTTAAAATATTATGAATAATTCCTTCTCGACAGAATAAAATTCACTTTAAGAAATACTCTCCCTTTTGTCTTCTTTTGTAAGTGAAACGATTTGTAATAGAATTCTTCAGTTATACGCTTAACAATTTATAATTTTAATATAAATAAAAATAAAAAAAAATTTTTAGGGCGATTCTGGTGGTCCACTTATCAATTACAACAGAGTGCAACTTGGAGTAGTTTCATATGGTGTCGAATGTGGAACGACAGGATTTCCGGGGGTTTACGCTGATGTTCTTTATTTCCGTGATTGGATTAAGCAAGAAACAGGAATATGATTTGAAAAATTTTATTATATGATATCTGTAATAGTTTTTGCAGAAATAACACTGGGATAAAAAACTGTTAATGTTGTGTTCATTTTAAAATTTCGGACTTATTGAATATTTAGGTATTACTGAATAAGAATTTAAAAAAATGGAAATTTGAATAATAAATAATTCAAATAAAATCGAAAAAACGTACCACGTTGAAGTCCACAACGTTTATCAACAAAAAAAATTATTTATTTAGTAAATTAATAAAATATAACGCAGCAATATTGCCACAAAAATATTTAGAAAAAATAAATTGATGTTTATTTTCTAATAATAACACTGCAAAAATAAGTGTCTTATTTGATATCTTAAAATAAGATGTAAGATGGAAAAATGGTATCTTACATCTTAAAATAAAATGTTTTCTAAAGTATCTTACTAATTTTTAAGATGTTTTATACGTCTTAGATATTTCTTCTATCTTAAAAAAGTAAGATACTTCTGTAAGTTTTTTAAAGTATCTTAATTAAGATGTTTCTGTCTCAACAAGATGTTTAGCGATAAGATACTTGTGAATTGTAAGATGCGAAAAAAATTTAAGTTACTAAAAACTAAGATGCATAAAATGTCTTACATATAAGCCCATAGTTAACCTCAAAACTTTTTTCACAAAAAATATGATGAAAATGTGTACGAAGATACTTTAAACATCTTAAATTAAGATATTTTAAATAACTTAAAAGTGACTACAAAAACATCTTAGAAATGACTACCAAAACATCTTAAATAAGATACTTCTTTTTGCAGTGAATTGTTATATAATTAAATATTAAATTAAAAATAATATTCGAATAGATTGAAAAAATTTTTTTCGTTGATCAACGTTGAGGACTTCAACTTCGTAAAAACGTTTCTTCGTTCAATAATGAGCTACACTCACCCACTAAGTAAGAGAATATGTTTGGTTTTTTTATTTTCTATAAAGCAGTCAAAATTTATCCTTTCTGGGATGAGATATAAAAGAACCTATTACTAGAGGCCTGATTTTTAATATTTTTTAACGAAAATTGTATATGTTTTTTTATAGTTTATTTTAAGATATGAAAGTGTTTGAATAAAAATATTTGTTTACTTTATAAAAAAAAATTATAAAAGACACGTTTTCTGTCCGTTTTGACTCTTTACACTTTAAATTAAAATTTGTAATCGAAAAATTCACGCACTTTCACATTATAAACAATACAAATATCTAATATAAAAGGTACATCGCCCTGGTACGAAAACAAACTCTCAGTTATATACTTTTGAAGTAACAAGCTCTTGGCTCCGGTCCATGAAAATTTTGCTGTAGTCGTTTTCGATACAAGTATAGTGAAAAAAATTCAAAATAACAAGTTAGAAGAGAAATAAAGAAACAGAAATAAATAAAAATAATGGAAAAAGCAGATTTTACTTACACGTGCCTTGAACGAAGATGTGGGGAAAATGAAATCGAGTTAAACATTCTCATGTGTGCAGCGCAGGTGCCAAGTGGATTCTATTCTTTTTTTCCTTCTTTCTTTCTTTTTATTTTATTTTTCCTGTTGAGTATTCTGCTTTGCTTTTCTCTGACTGCTATTTCTGCCAGGTGGTGCTTACATATAGTTTTGTGTGTTGGATGCTGCCTCGCTTTTGCTATAACCGACGCCATTTCTATTTCAACGTTTTTGGTTCAAGATTAATTAGACGCTTCTCTCAAAATAGACACACTCTCTAAGTACATTATATCCCCTTTGCTAAAATTTTAATAATTATATCGCGAAAACATTGTTTTTTAAATTACTTTGAGTTTAAAATAATTTATCATCCCTTCATTTATAAAAGTTTAAAAATTTTTTAATAGCCTCTATAATTATTGTATTTTTTTAAATAATGATGGAAGAAACTTATGTGTTATGTGTTTCTCCCCAAGAATTACACTGCATTCAGAAACAAATTAACATTTTTTTCTTTCGTAATTCTCTATTAAAAGAATGTATACAATCTTTAATTTATTTTTATTATCAAGGTTACATTGTAGATTGGAAAAAGTGTGAGGATTTAAAAAGAATTTCTTTTCTTAACGAGGTTCTATTACAGATTACAAAAATAGAGAGAATTTCTCTGCCATTGAAGAGAGTTGTGCTGCGTATAAATTTTCGTTAATTTATTAAATTAACCTCCCGAAGAGAGGCAATATTAGTGAACATAATGGTGTCTACCTCTTTCTCTCTCACTCTCTCCCAGTGAGGGAATTGAAGAGTTCCGCCGGAAGCTAGAAGAGCTACAGAGGACAATATTCGCGGGAGGAATCTTGCAACGGAGCAATTGTTTGTTGAGATGATGGCTAGATTAATCCTGACCAACCTCAACCTGAATTGAGTTTCCGTAGACTATTTAATTACTATCATGATTATTTAATTTTTAGAACTTAATCTCCTGAATAAATTTTCTTATCCCCTTATTATCTACCCCTCTCATTATAAACATTGTAATTCGAATAGAAAATTGGATCATAACAAAGACTCTTTCCTTTTTGATAAGTTTTTAAAAATTTTTTCTTCCACTTTAACTATAACTTTGAATTTTTTTTTAACTTTAATTACAAATTTTATTTATAGATGAGTCTTACTTTCACAGTGATTTTAATTTTGACTTAAATTTTGACATTATCAAAATCCATTTATCGAAAAATTATGTCTTAATTGAGGGTTCACGTGCAATAAGGGGATACGCATGGAAGTGAAAGTCCCCGCGTATAGCGATTCTGCGGCTGCGCGAGAGGACAACGAATAGCCTGCGCGTCCCCTTATTGCACGTGAACCCTCAATTAAATACTGTTTTATTGTATAAACCTGAGTTTTAGATTAATTTCAAAGGTTTGTTTAGCCTAAATAAATGTTTGTTTTATTTAAATAAACATTTTGTTTAAGATAATAAATTTTGTAACCGAAAATGGAATTTGGTAACTTGAAGAAAATCTTTGTGAAACCAATAAAATATACATTTATTTAGTTGTTTCGAACAAATTTTTCTCTATGTGTTCCAATCTCGATTAAAATGAAAATCACGAATAAAATAAAAGTCAGAATAATTCCATACCTGGGGATAATTATTTATTAGAAAAAAGGAAACAAGAAAAATAAAGTTTGACTTTCAAAAATAATTTTTAATTTTCCATTCATTTTTATTTGTAATTTCGCAATAATAAAAGACAGTTACTCGACCCTGAGGTCAGTTTTATTTGAAAATTAACGTAATAAATTTAACATACTGACTCCAATAAAGGAATATTAATCAATTGACAGTCTCTCCCTTTGCAAAGGTTACCACATGAGTAACCCCTTAAGACAGAAACGAGATATCTCCATTTGGGGCGACAGCACTGAGAAAAATGGATATTAAGGCTTACTATCTAGATATTACCATTCAATATCTATGAAAGTGAACTATAAGACAAGTATCTTGGATATTTAATTTCACTATCTAAATATATTGGACAGAATATATTAACCTATAATATCCAGGATGTTAAAATTCAATATCTATATGAAAGTGAACTGTAAGACAAGTATCTCAGATATTTAATTTTACTATCTAAGATATACGCAAACGTCATTTCAAATTTATAGGTTAAATGTACCTTATTTTTAAATCTTGCGGTAAAATAACAACATTTGGTTTCTGAAAACCCTGAAAACCACGAAGTAGAGCTCAAAACTTGACAGAAATTCTTAAACATATAATCAAATTCCTAAAATTTCAAAATTCGACAAACAGCGCATATAATTTACTATTCATTATTACCAAATAATTACATTATTAGTGCATTAATAATTATTAATTTATTCTATAATATAATTACAGATATAATACATAATTGGTTAATTAATATTTATAAATAATAATAATAATAGAATTATAGCAATTTTTTAATTTTTATAAATAATCAGGGTCCTAATTTAAAACAAAAATCCTGATCTTTTTCTGGTTATTTTTCTTGATGAGACTGCGGGAAAAATTATTATTTTTCCCAGTCATTGCAATAAAAATTCTAAAAAAACACATGAAATAATTGTAGTAAATGTTTATTTATTTTGGGCATGTGGGAAAAACCACATACAAGTTGGGTCTATGTGTCAGTGGTCCAGGAGGTGGCGTCAATTCTGGTGGCCGCGGTGAACTAATGAAACTCAAATTACTCCACTTTAAAACTTTAATAAAATAATTTCCTTGCAAAATTATTGTAATTTTGTTTAATTTCTTGCTTAATTTTGTTAATGAACTTAAAAAATATTAATTTTCGCTGGCAGTTACGACGTAAGTTTTTCCATTTTGATGCTCGCACATCAAAACAGAGTGATAATATAACGAATATAACCTCACTTTTTCTTTATTGTAGGCTGCTGTAGGCGCCTTAGACGTTGCGCTTGCGCAACGCCCAGATATTAAATTTCAATATATTAGATTGTCAAGTTCAATATCTAAACGTTATATTCTACAATACACTACATATTAAATCTAAACATCTGATATACTATGCGTTAAAATCTAGATAATATATTTAAGTATCTCATTTTTAATATCTAATATATTTAAGAGTTTTAATATCCATTTTTCTCAGTGAGGGTTTTGTTGTTTTGATAATCAAATTCAAAATAAATATTGTGCATATGAAAATAATTTTAATAAAATGATAAACATTTCTATGAATTTCCAATTTTAATTCATGCTTATTTAATAAAATCGATAATAAAATATAATAGAAAGTTTTTAAATACACTACCGTCCACGAGTATCAGGACGATTACACGAGACTCTATGAAAAAACATGTCATCACTTTTTCAATCATATCTCGTAAATAAAACGACATACAAAAAAAACTTAAACACGGTTAGAAAGCTGATTAAATTTTGCGTAAAATAAGCCGTCTTTGAAGTCATTTCGTTAACTATTTTTTTATTTGTAGAGTGAGAAAGAAATAAAAAAAATTATCAAATTTTCTAATTTTTGGCTCTTGACTTCAACTTTTTCAAAAATATAGAAAAATTTAGATAAAATTTTTCTAAAGACACAGAAATCTTCGTTAGAATTTCAGCTTTAAAATAAGTTTTCGAAAATTAAAAAAGGTTAATCTGTCTTCGATATATCATTAAAAATGTGAACACTGCAAAAAGAAGTATGTTAATTTAAGATGTTTTGGTAGTCATTTCTAAGATGTTTTGGTAGACACTTTTTAGTTACTTGAAACATCTTAATTTAAGATGTTAAAAGTATCTTCGTACACATTTTCTGTGGTATTTTTGGGGCAAAAAGTTTTGAGGTTAACTATGGGCTCTTATGGAAAACACTTAATGTATCTTAGTTTTTAGTAACTTACACTTATGGCGCATCTTACGATTCTCAAGTAACTTATCGCTAAACATCTTATTGCAACAGAAACATCTTAATTTAAGATACTTTAAAGAACTTACAAAAGCATCTTACTTTTCTAAGATGGAAGAAATATCTTCATCACTGCTAAAACGTATAAAGCATCTTAAATATCAGTAAGATGCTTTAGAAAACATCTTATTTTAAGATGTAAGATACTATTTTTCGATCTTACATCTTATTTTAAGATATCAAAAAAGACACCTATTTTTGCAATGAAGCCGTGATTCGACCGATTGGTGCATTGAAATTCAATTGTGACGAATTGATTCTGGCTTCGCGCCGCAGCGAATGAGAGAGAAAGCAGGGACGAATTGAATGGTTGGGCACAATAAAGTAGAGTCTACAATGAGCACGTTCGACGTGGTTGAAAACAACGGTTGTTCGTGTTCGCTATCGTGAACGTGTACGTGCTCCATGCTAAACTAAATGGAACGCGTACACGTTCACGACAGCGAACACGAACGACCGTGCTCATTGTAGAACCGACTTAAAGTAGAGTCTACAATGAGCACGATCAACGTGGACGTGGACGCGACGTGCTGACGTCACCCATTTGAATAGCATGGGTGACGTCAGCACGTCGCGTCCACGTCCACGTCGATCGTGCTCATTGGAGACTCTACTTATGGGGACGTACGCGCCGCTACACGCTATAACGCCATAGTCAAACGGTAGAAATTCTGGAAAAATTGGAAATTTTGATTTTTTAAAAACAGTATCTTTTAGGAAATTAAAAAGCGCATCTTTTTTTCCTTTGAGATTTTTTTCTAAAATGAATATTTTAGAAAATAATGACCAAAAACTAACAAATTTAAATTCTCAAAATTGATTAAATTTTTAAACATAACTCGTTGTATCTTCGGTAAATATTATTGAAATTACTTGTAATTTGGCATACAAACGCATTTGGGTTCACACAAGGCGACAACATAATTAAAAATATAAAAAAAAATGAATTGTTTATTAATTTTTAATTGTTTATAGAGATCCGTCGATAATCACGTTTTCTTATCTTTGCCGTCAAAAAGTCTGTGGGGAAGTTAAGAGTTGAGCAAACTTCCAGTGAGACATTTGTTTATTACTATTTGAGGAAGTTTTCTGTAAAGTTACAGAAAGATTCCTTAATTATTTATTGAAATATTTTAATTTTAAGAGAAAGGGCGGCGCGCAGTGAACCTTCGTTACGTGCAGACTCAAGTGATATTTGTTCACTGGCTCAATAAAACATGGTTTTTTTCTCAGAAAATCTTACTAATAAATAATATAATTTTATAAATAAATTATGTTAAAATTATATGTCTAATTAATATTTAATTAATAATAAAAAATCTGTTAGTTGAAAGTTTTTAGTTGAAAATGTT